CTAACTCTAAAACTATTTGTTTAACATAAACTTACAAAGAACCTCAAGGATATAGACATAAGTAGGTGGAAATATTCCCCACATCATAGAGTTTGAGAAGCACTGCCATAATTCAAATGTTCCTATTTTATAGAGGCAGTCCTCTACATTAATGTTCCAGATGTTCTGTATGAATGCCATCTTACATTTTCAAATCACAGCTATTTCTAATAGTGCACAAAATACACAAATGTATTCTTCACTTCTCTAAAATATTTATGTATGTGTCTGAATTGTGTGGTCAATTGTTCAGACATTTCCTGAGAATGATCTAATATGCATCTGTGGCCCCATTAACTGCACTTAGCTCCAAGCCTTGGGAACACACCCTTACATATCTTGGTCCATTTCCTCTTTGGAAAATTCCCTTCTCCCTTAACAGTGTTTAAGCAGGTGCCCATTACTAAAGTTAGATGCTATTTATGCCAACCAAGGCGTTTATGTGGCCAGAAAGTAGAATCACAGTTCAAAATAATATCCAGGTCGTGGCATTGGGATTACACTAGTTAACCTAATATCCATTGAAAAAAAATCTCAGATGAGAATGGCTCCCAACATATCAATCACAGTTACAAGGAAGCCAGCACCTTCCTTAGCACAAAACTGAGGATCCACCGCAATACTTGTGCAGATAAATCAAAAGAAAGATGAAGGAAACTTGCAAAAACAGGAGGCAAGAAGAGACTAACACAATGGCTGGATCCTGTTGGTGTCCTCCATGTGTATAAATTCATTTATAGAAGTAGCTGGTCGCTTTTTTTGTAGAGAATTCATTTTTGTGCAGGTGCCATTGAGCACGGATACAAATCGTGCATGGTTGTGCACATCCTTATACAGTTGTACATATTACTTACAGGGAAGTGTTGGCCTTGCATACGGATGCAAATGCACATTTGGTCATGCATTTAGTTGCCCATTTGGTGCCTTGGTTCATCTGAACAATCTTGCCATCCAATCAGTGCATAACTCCACACATGGATATTTACACAATGCCTTCCCTGATATGGGATCTTGGCCAATATGAGGCCAATTTGAATGAAATTTTCCTGCTTCTTGGCAGGGGATTGGGCTGGATGGCCCATGAGGTGTCTTCCAACTCTACGATTCTATGTGACCAGATGCTATTAAGAATGGGAATGTATAGGCAATCATAACACTGTAGTTTCATAACAAGACTTTGCCAAAAGGATGACACAAGTTATGGTATCATAAGTGGCCCCTGATGATCAACAACCACATCACTTGTCCATAGAATGATTTATTGATGTTACCAGGGAATGTTTACTTGGCAGTGGTTTTCCTTTCCCAGCATTCACCTCAGATTTCGATTATGTGAAATGTTAATTTTATATCTAAAGAACAAGAGTCACATACATGGGGGTGGGAAGTGAGAAGAAATACACATTTTCTGAAATATATTAAATATTTAAACAGATCTCAACTAAAAAAGGGAATGGTATGTATGGTGAAGCAAAAAGGAACATATAAGATAATGCCTTAAATATACATATATATATGAATTTATCAGTGGTCAGCATAATCAAAATAAATACCAATATGCACAGATTAATAGCAGCAAAAAGCCCATAGCTGAGCAATCTATCTACTGGCCAATGTGATCATCTAATTTAAATATGTAACTTCTATCATTTCTGTCCCGACCTCCTTCCAGAAATTTTTTATAATCCACCCAGACCTACGATGCTCAAAATATCATGTGGGTCAGCCTTTGCAAAAGAGATCAGTGTGCTATTCTCAGTAACTACTATGCACATCATAATCCACACATATTTCTGAATAGAAATGTACTCTTCTGAAGTTTTGTGTTTTGTCACAAAAGAGGGCAGGATCTTGCCAGTGTGTTTTGCTATCTAAGGAATGAACTTCAAGTTCATTTGGCATTTAAATATTGAGAGGTTGGTCTCTCTCCACTCTGATAGAATCCGTTGTGCGGCTGAATTGCACCCTGATGAACACTGCAGAGTATTGGGGGTTGAAAAATTACCAAAAAATGAAAAATTACCATGGCCAATTTAATGTGAGCATACCTTTAAAAATGCTCCCACTGAAAGCACCTGGTTTTCAAAAGTGATGGCTGGCAGTACGGTGTCCTCCCTCTCCTGCTCCCTTCCTCATTTCTCATGCATAATATTGGGAACTGAGTAGCTCTGACCTCTCAGAACTGGAATCGTGGAAATAATAAAATAATGTTATGCACCCTGTCCAATAATGAGTGGGATAAAATCCAAATGCATAAACTGTAAGGAAGGGAAAACAAGTGCTGCAGGCACTATTCCTATTCTTATTCTTTGCTTTATGGCTTCTTCTGATTTTATTGGTGTGTGAAGGTGTGTGTTCCTCAAACTGGCAAAACCAAAAGGCTCCCTTCTGCTTCAGGTGCTCCTTACAGTTGAGTACATTGCAGTTCAGCTTTTTAAAGGAAGTTTAAGGTGTAATTTTATTCTGAGTCAACTATACTTTAGATCAGAGGTGATGATTTCACAACAAACCAAACTGCATATAATGCATTTGCACTCAAAGTAGCAGAGTGAATTTCAGCCCAGAAAGGGCATTAATACTGTAATTTGTGATTTCCCCCCCAAAAGAACAGAAAAATGCTTCCCCCAACCACTCCCCATTGCTTCGAAATTGAATAGCTTGGCCTCATTTTCTTGATTTCAAGAGGAAAGAAACTAATTCTAAAATGGTAAAAATATCACCCAGCCTAGTATTTCTTTTTTGTATTTTGGCTATGAGAGAGTGAGAAAAAGAAAGGAGAAAGAAAATAGATGGGAAAGAGACCAAGGTGATATATTATTGTCCCGATTCAGCAATAAAAGCACCAGCTCCAAACAAGTGATCACTTAGTTTATCTGAAACTCCCTCCAAAAAGCAACGGGTTAGGATTGACTTCATGAGCCTTCACTTTAACGTTACCAAATAACTTTGAGTTATCAATGACAATGGGGCTGAATACCTTTGTGTTTTGATGGGTGAACAGACATCTGACCCTGGCTGGCAGCATGTAACAAAGGGACCGCCGACTGCACCAATGGTTGAGCTTTGGAAAAAGGATGTCTGGAAGCATGCCCAGGACAAGAGGAGTTGTCCAGTAATCATCATCACTCGACTGTCAGCCAAGGCCAGATGCTTCCCACTGAGCACCGATTCACCTGGCCTGAGCCTGCAGCAAATCAAAGTCTACTGACAAAATGTTTCAGTTGCCTACAGTGACCAGAAAATTAGCACTATACTTCACATATTAAGGACTTTATCACACTAGTGTGTTGTATTAATTGCATTATTTAAGCAAATGGAAACATACTGCTATTGGAACAGTCACCTTCCCATCTAGATGCAATCGTACTATGCTAGTACTTTGTTGAAGCGAATTCCCATGAGCAGTATTTGATGCAATCTCCTTTCCAACCCATGTTCACCCTACCTCGCACATGAATACTGTGGAAGTTTTTCCTATTTCTTTCTATTTTGCTGAAATTGTGCCGTTGCAATATTGCAATATTTTCCTAAGGTATTCCTCTGCTTCATAATATCAGGACTGCAGCGGAAGGAAATTATCGCACCACAAAGACAACAGATATACTGACTAGTTTTCCCATCCGTTGAAAGAAATGATCCAATCATGACTCGAGCACAATGCAACTACAGGGAGACACAACGTCATGCAGTACGCCCCATCCAAAGGCACTTTCATCCTGTTGTAATTGTGTCTCATCAGCTTTGTGTGATAAAGTCGTAAGATTTTTTTCAGGGCTAGTATTACTATGAAAGATTTGCCTTGGACAAATTCCTTCCTTTGTAGGCCTAAAAATAGTATGCTCGAACCTATGACAAAAAAAAATCTCAATTCAGGTGCAAGAACATCTTGTTATTTGGCAGGACATGAAAAGGGGTTTAGGGGAGAAAACTCATATGAAGACACAAAGTTGGAAGAAGGAACACAAAGACACAAAGTGTTACCAAAATGCAGGGTACCCTGAGGACAGCAATTACCATTAAGCTAAATGGACACAAGGGGCTAGAAAACTGATTTTTTTCTGCATGTAAACTGAAAAGGCCACTCACAAGAAGCCAGGGATCCTGAGATTACATGCTCTGAAAATACGCACATCAAAATGGCTCAACTATACAGGAATATGTGCAACTTTGCATATTGATTTGGGTTCTGTTTTCCTATAAATTAAAGATGGATAAATGTGAAGGGAGAGACAGGACAAATACGCCCCGCCCCCCAAACCTTCCTGTGGAGCCATAAACAAAGTCAAATACTTCCATTTTCCACTATAGCGCACCTCAAAATGGTGACAGCGGTGCTTTGGAGTAATACAAAGGTATGGAGGAAGGGCTTGTAGAAAGTATTTTCATGCATTTAGGTGAGGTTTCTGGATGATTTGGGGAAAATGTTGTTGTAAATTTTTCCCACAAAATTAGAGAGATGGGAGGACTCCAGAGGCCACTAAAGTGCAGTTCTGAAGTCACATGCAATGAAACAAAAGAAATCTCCACACTCACCAAGATCAACTTTGCAAGAGGGCAGGAAAGTCATTCTAAAAAAAGAATGAGGGGAGGAATAGAAGAATCAGATCTTTATGAAATCAGAGAAAAAAATACCTCTGAACTGCTGGTCTTGCTCAGGTTGCAAACATACTTTTCTAAGACAAAGCTGCAAGTATAACAAGGTTTCCTCTGTATACCAGCTTTTCCCAACCTGAGTTCTCCAAGATATATTAGACTACAACTTCCATCATCCCTAATGAGCATGGCAATTCTGCCATTCTCACATCAGATGGAATTTTCTGAAGTATGTTATACAGGGGGCACTGACCAGGGAAACAATAAAAACCTCTAAGGAAAGATGTTTTTAGAAAGAAACCCTGTCTCTTGATTGGGATTTCTGGTGCTTCTCAGATCAAGCTCACTCATGCAAAAGGGGTGGCGGGGGGGGGGGTAAGGATGGACAGAAGGAAGAGGCAGAGATCCCCCCACTCCCGGACCCAGAAGGCAGTGAAGAGCCTTAGCTAAAGAACAGACAACAACAAGAACACTTGGCATCCTTCAGCACGTACTCCTGCAAAGTGGCAGCAAAATAAACCCTTTTGACTTCACCTATTCACTGTCAGGTTCACAGGCTGTTAAAAACACGGGAGAGTGCTGGGGGAGCAAGCCTCCTAAGGCACAGAGCACAAAAGCAGGGCACACGGCAAGCAGCAGGCAAGAGAAGTCGCTCCCTATTGGGATGCCAGAGGCTGGGGGCGCAGGGGAATGGAAAGAACTGCTAGCAAGGGTCATGTCGATAGCCAAGGTTCTCCATCTCCATCATTGTAGATAGCCAAGGTTCTCCATCTCATTCTTGTACCGCTGCTCAGACACTTTGCTCTTGTGCTGTTTGCTCTCCAAGTGTTGGCGAAACTCGGACTCCTCGCTGGCACCGGCGTTGCACATGGAACAGTAGAACTGGCCACTGGGGGTGACACACATGGCGAGGTCACGGGGAATCCGCTGGCGGGATCGTGGGTTGAAATAAGGACCTAAGGAGGAAATAAAAAAGGGGAAGCCTAATTAGAGCCAATCATGGAGCATATGCACTGTAGTTTGACACCACTTGAACTACCATGGCTCAGTGCTATGAATTCATGAGAGTGCACTAGAACTCTTTGGCAGAGAAGACTAAAAACCTTTGAAAACTACATCTCCCATGTTTCCATAGCATTAATCCATGGCAGTCCAAGTGGTGTCAAACTGCATTGATTCTACGGTGTAGATCAGGCATGGCCAACTTCAGCCCTGCAGGTGTTTTGAACTTCAACTCCCAGAAGTCCCAGCCAGCTTACTGGCTGTTAGGAATTGTGGTAGTTGAAGTCCAAAACACCTGGAGGGCCCAAGTTTGTCCATGCCTGGTGTAGATGCACCCCCCAGGCCCAATCCATAATAATTGCCACCATCACACCAGTTCAAAGAAACTGCCCTATCCTTGTAATCTTCATTAGGCATGTTTTTGCTAATTCTTTAAGAAGTTTCTCACATTTTTCTCTTTTAATTTTATTCATTCTTGCACCTTGTTGAATAAAGTGCCCTCTTAGATAGGCCTTCTTTGCGTCCCAAACTATATCTATTGGTGTTCCTTTGTCCATATTAATCTTGAAATACTCCTCTATCACTGAGTTAATATTTTCCAATTGGCTAGGCTCCTTTATGAGATTGTCCCTCAGTTTCCATATAAATGTACTATGACATCCCTGCTGGATGTTTATTGTTATCTCTATCGGGGAGTGGTCGGAGTTTATCATCTGCAATATCTTCATTTTTGTGATGTTTGGTAACAATGATTTGGACCCCCAAACCATGTCTATTCGTGTCCATATTCTGTGTCTGTGTGAAAAGAAGGTGAAATCTTTTTCACCTTCATGTTGGTGCCTCCATACATCCTTTAGGTTAAGATCCTCCATCAGACTCTTGATTTTTTTGGGTAATACTCCTGTTCTTTTTTTATTCAGTTTTGTTCTATTAGTGGATTTATCCAATATTGGGTCTAAGACCCCATTGTAATCTCCTACTATAAGTAGCTCACTGTATTCTCGTTCCTCTATATAATTTTTCAGTTTACTGATGAAGCTGTCTTTTGTTGAGTTTGGTGCATATATGGAGCATATCAGTATCTCCCTACCTTCTATCTCTATTTGTATTCCTAATATTCTCCTCTCATGATCTTTGAATATTAGTTTTGATGGTATTTTTTCCTTAATATACATTACAATTCTGTTTTTCTTCTGTGGACCTGCTGTATAGTACATTTTTTCCCAATACTTTTTGTTCTAATAAGTTATTATGTTTTTCTGTGATGTGTGTTTCTTGTAGGGAAATAATCCCATAATTACCCTTTTTTAATTGGTGAAATACTTTCTTTCTTTTATTGGGGTGGTTAAGACTGTTAACATTGTTACTATACACTTTAATTTTCCTGTCCATCATTAATCTTATCTTTATCCTCTATCTCCATATCATTCTTGTTTTCGAGTCTCTGTGATGGGTATACATTCGGGGAGTTTTCCCTAGCTCTTTTTCTTTTATTTTCATATTCCTTGTCCTCCCATTTTCCTGAGGTTCCTGGAGTCTCATCCTCTTCTTCTGTATTTTTTGTGTGTGTGGCAGATATATCTCCGTCTTCTTTATTCTTGTCTTTTTCCTTTTGTCCTTCTGTTTTGATAAATTTCTCCCAAAATGCTCTTGCTTTTGGTTCGGAAGTGAGCCAGTATTTGGTCTCTCTCCATGTTACCATTATACCCTCCTTTTTCTCCCATTTAAATTTTACGTGTCTTTTTTTTAGTTCGTCCGTCAGGAAGTGGTATTTCCTTCTTCTCTCTAAGACTGAGGAAGGTATTTCTTTTAATATTACTATTTTGTTTCCCTTGTACATCACTGGTTCTCTTGCTTTTTCTATTAGAATGTCGTCCCTCAGTGTTTTTTTGGAGCAGCAGGCTATAATATCTCTTGGTGTTTTAAAATTTTTTGGAATATTGCGTTTGGACTCTGAACACCCTGTCTAAGTTCATTTCAATAATAGACCTTAATTTTTTTGTTATGTTTGTTATAACATCTATGATTATCTCTCTGGTGTTCTCCTCTTCCTCTTCTCTTATATTTCTGAATCTTAACTGGTGTTCCTTTTCTTTTGCTTCTAATAATTCCTGTTAGTGTTGGGTCAAAGTCCATTTATTTTCAAGATTTTCTATTTTCTTTTTCATGGATCCTTGTTCAATTTTCATTGCTTTGTTTTCCTTCATTAAGTCTTTGTTGTCTTGTTTTATTTTTTCTGTATCAATTCCCATGACTTTCATTTCCTCTTTGATTAGGGTCTTTATTTCCTCTTTCATCTCTTTTTTTATTTCATTCATTTCTCCTCTCAATATCTCATTTTGACTTGCTTGGATTTCTTGTACTTTCTTTATTTCTGACTGTAACTTCCAAATTTCTTTCAGGATATCTTTAACCCCTACCTCTTCCGTTAGCGAGTTTTTCCTATTCGCTTTTTCCCCTTTTTTTTCCATCTTTTTGGGAAGTTACTATTGTTGTTGATTGTCCTTTAATTTTTCAATTTTCTGGTAGTTAAATATACCTGTCCTTTTATTATGGTATGTAAGGTATTGGATTGTTATATTTCTATTTGTTATGTTATTTTATTTTAGATTGTAGTTTTGTAGGTGGTGATTATTATTATTATTATTATTTTCTATTGTTTTTATTATATATATATATATGTATATATATTTTTCCTTTTAACCTGCCTAAAACTTGGCATGGCCCGCTTGAATATTTCCTAAACACTTCTCCTTCTCCCTCCCATCTGTCACCCTCCCCCCTTATCCCTCCCTTCCCAGTGGATCTCTAGTATTTCACTTTCCCGTTTCTGTACTCCTGTTGCTTCACATTGAGTCAGTCTTTGTCTTTTCCCTCTTCTGCCAGTCTCGCGATCCTTCCTGGCGAGAGCGCGGCGCGGCTCGTGCCCGCCGGGTGTCCTTTGCCGCTCCCGCTAAGTTGGTCTCTTGAGAAGATCCATATGTCCATTGCTCCTTTGTTACTTGGCGTTTCTTTCACCTTTTTCTGGTAGGGAGTACTGAAAAGGGGAACGAGTGGGAGGAGGGGGCAGATGAAGATTTGGAGCGTGCTTATTTGATTTATGTTGATAGATTTTGTTAAGTTCCTTTGAGTTTCGTTGAGCTTCTTTTTCCTTACCGGTTACTTCTGCCTTCTGCCTTCGTTGTAGTTTGGTTGGTATTTTCTAAATTTCTAATTGTTATTTTTATTTTATTTTTTAAAGTTCCTTTTCCGGGTCTGGTCCTGCCGACAGGGGGGGGGGGGTGGAGTGCATAGAGGCAAAATATATAGTGTTGGAGTGTTGGAGTTCGAGGAGGAGTAATCAGATAGTGGGTTGCAACATCCTTGAGGTTGGAGCAGCCAGGCTGCGACGCCTGCCCTGATTTTTTTTTTTTTAGAGATATTCTCCCTTCTCCTTCCTGGCGCCCACCTCCTCGGTGATCTTCGTTATCTCTTTTTCACAGCGCCCTCTGATTTCAGTCCTCTCATTATTTATCTCCTGCTGTTCCTTCTCTTTGTCTCTTTGTCTCTTGCCCCTCCCTTCCTTTTCCCTTTGCCTTCGTTCTCGGCTGTTTTGAAATCTGGTCTTTAATTATTTATGTTGATCAGGCCTTGGCCAGCGTGGGCCTAGTTACAGCTGTGTTGTAGAGCTTAACTCAGCTTAATTAGGTAGCGCTGCATTTCCTCCGAAAAGTCAATTATACATTCCCCCAGTCTACATTCGACATTCGTAGTCAACATAATCAACACAATTATAATCAACAGTCAAAAGTCAACTCCACTTATGATTAGTGATTCATAGTCTTTATATTACATCTGTATATCTTGTCAATTCTGTGAAGGTCAGCAACATTTCTTCTTTTTTTTAGTACTTTAGCTGCCAGTCATTGGCTTTGCGGACATAATTAAATTAAGTTGACGCTTGTACTCAGGCAATCATCAGAGTCTCAATTCATACAGCCAGAAGTAATACTATAGTGCATTACGATTGTAATGTAAATCCATTAGGTTGTAGATCCAAGAGTCATACATTTTATAGCCTTCTTACCACGCCGGGTTCCCTTTTTTCCTTCAAGCTCAATTTCTTCTTCCTTTCTTCTTCTTCTTTATCTTTAAAATAGCGGCAAACGGACTGTTCCCGGCTTTTAGCCAGGTAACTTTTCCGAACCCTGCACAACTCGCCYGTAGCTCGAACGGGGAGGGAGACCCTCTGATGCAATTGTCCCGTTRGCCGGTTGAGTTACTAGCGCCCACCCGCTTCTCGCTGCCGGGTTGGGGGGAGCTGGGGGTGAAAGACCCCCYCTCTACCAAGGGTTGATGCGGAAAAGASGATGCCGAGCTCGGAGCTTCAGCAACCCGWGSTGAAGCTCCYCCATGCTGCCGCTACCGGAAGTTTTTRCCCCCTCCTTTCTTCACAACCGTGGAGAGCGAGTGGAGAGGGGAGGCCTGGTCTRTGAGAGGTCCCCTCTCTCTCTCTTGTGGGGTTCCTCAGGGGGCCATCCTCTCCCCTCTGTTATTTAACATCTATATGCGACCACTTACTCAGCTGGTTTGAGGTTTTGGGCTTGAGTATTATCAGTATGCCGATGACACTCAGCTGGTGCTGAAGATGGAAGGCCGACCGGACTCTGTACCCGATTGTTTCCATCAGTGCCTTGAGGCCATTACTGGATGGCTGCGTGCCATCCGGCAAAGACAGAGATCCTATGGTTGGGTCAACCGGGCAGTGGGGACATCCAGCTGCCTATCCTGGATGGTGAGGCGTTATGCCCGTCATCATTGGTAAAGAGTCTGGGAGTCCTTTTGGACCTTCTGCTGAGGATGGAGGCCCAGGTCTCTGCCGTTAGCAGAACTGCCTTTTTTTCATCTGCAGCAGGCTAGACGGCTGGCCCCCCTCCCTGTCCAGGGACGACCTAGGTACGGTGATCCAGGCCAC